CATCCCCAGCCCCGGCAGTGGGTTTTCACATTTGAACTTTTCTCCCCAATTCCTCAAGCAAGCTTCCATAGAAAGATGGACCCTCCTTTCCACAAGACATGGGGTAGGAGGACAGTGTTTTAAGAGGCTTCTGTCATTTAGGCCCATTTTATTTTCATGTATTCATACAAAACTTCTAAAAATTTAATTAAAATCAGAGCTTAAGATACTACATTAGGAAAAAGCAGGCATGAAGGTGGGATTTAAACATTATGAACATATCACAATGAATTCCACTTTTAAAACAAATCAATTTTTAAAATTCAAAAAATGGTAAAAAGGGGTTTTTTTATTAAAAAGAAAAGAAAAGATAATGAGTGCAGACTTTTTACCTGGCAAACAGATGATATGCTTCTTGTTCTTGGCCCCAGAGAGAGGAAAGCTCTGTGTGTATGTAGATACACTGACCCTGGGACATAAAGCCCACCTCAAGAGCACCACAGGCTAAGGTCTCTAGGTTGTCCACTTGACTCTTTAGTAACATCACAATTCCTTTAACAGAGGAAGTTTGAGCCTGTAGATACACAATAAAATAAAGTTTCAAAATTAAACATAGACAACACAACTACAAGCAAGATATATTATTTTATAATTAAGCAGAGAGAAAAATACCTAAAATGGGACTTATAAATAAGCAGTTTTTTGGCCAAAAGCCCAAACATAATCTTGTTCTCCAAATATGGCCTCCATCCTATTCCACATTATCATGAAAGTCTTAGCCAGTGCAATATGGCAGGGAAAAGAAACAGAAGACATACAGATCAGAAGGTATTACACAGTTCCTATTTATAGATGACATGAAAATCTGTGTACAAAATCCAGAGGAATCTATTTTTGTGTATATGTGTGTATGGTGCTGGGGATTGAACCCAGGGCCTTGTGCACATGAGGCAAGCATTCTACCAACTGAGCTATATCCCCAGCCCCCAAAGGAATCTTTTTAAATCCTAAAACTAATATGTGAATTTGGCAAAGTTGCAGGACATAAAATCAAAAAATAATAAAACCTCAAATGTATTTCTATATACTCGTAATTAAATGTATGAAATGAAAAATCTTCTGAAACTACCATTTATAATAATTATGAAAACAGGTAAAAATAACAAAACATATACAGGATCTACATGCTGAAAACTACAAAATTTCTTTATGGTGAAAAATATCTGAGATGATGAAAGAAATCAGAGACCTCAATGACCGTACTCAAGGATTAGAAAACTCAAGTATGTTAATTCTCCCCATGTTAATCTATATAACCAGGAAGATCAATAAACATCAAGTAAAAAAAACATGAAAGAAACTACTCTAAGAAAGTGTATCATAATCAAATTCTTTAAAATCAATGATAAAGAAAGTAATGTCAGGAGCTGCCCTGGATGTAGACCTTCAAGTCCTGATGCCCTGGGGCACTGACCAATTATTGCCTTCAGTCATGATAGTGCCAGGTCTCAAGTAACTTTGGCGTTACCCCAGCTTGGATAGCAAGGCGTGTGGCTCCAGGTGTAGGTGTCGCTGGCGGGGGTTGAGTTCCACTCACCTGTTCCTTTGTAATCCTACCCCTTGCCTCATTTGAATGGCTTTTCCCCAATAAAAGGGTTCAGCACATGCTCCTTGTTCTCTTTCTTGCCTGTCTTGTCCCCCTTGTGGGAGCTGCAGCTGAGGAGCCATCACTGAACCCAAAGATAAGGTACTTTCTGGTTCTGTGTCTTTATTTATTCCCCAAATTCACTTGGAGTGACCCTGACTGGTTTAGTAACAAAGTAATTTATGGTGAAAGAAGCTGATGAGGACAGGTGAGGGAAGGACACATTAAACAGGAACAAGGATAAGGATGACAGTGAATTTCTTGTGTGAAATAAAGCAAGTTAGAAGTCAGTGGAGTAAACTGTTAAACTACTGAAAGAAAAAAAATGTGATTGACATTCTTTATCCAGCAAAATGTCTTTCAAAGGCTGGGGGGCAGGGCTGGGGCTGGGGCTTAGTGGCAGAGCACTTGCCTAGCATGTGTGAAGCACTGGGTTCAGTCCTCAGCACTGCATAAAAATAAAGGCATCCTGTCCAACTGTAACTACAAAAAAAGTAAAAATAAAAACAAAAATGAAAGGCTAGCTGGACATGGTAGCACTCTGGGCAACTTAGCCAGACCCGGTATCAAAATAAAAATAAAGTGGTAGAGCAACCCTCGGTTCCATCCCCAGCACTACAAAAGAAAAGACGGAGAGAGAAAGGAAAAAAAAAAAAGTCCAGGCACACTGGTGCATGTTTATAGTCACAGCTACTTAGGTGGCAGACACAGGAGGATCACTTGAGCCCAGGAGTTCAAGTCAAACTTGGGCAACACAAACTCATCTCAAAAAAGAAAAAAGGAGCTGGGTATGGTGGTGCACACATGCAATACCATAAACTTGGGAGGTTAAGGCAGGAGGATTGCAAATTTGAGGTCAATCTGTGCAACTGATTGAGACCTTGCCTCAAAGTTTAAAAAAATTATTATTATAATAAACTTTTTTTCAAAAGGACTTTATCACAAAAAAAAAGGAAAAGAAAAAACAAAGCAAAACTTGCATATTTACACTAAAGACTACAAAATATCACTAAAAGAAATTAAAGTTTTAGGGACTGAGGCTGTGGCTCAGAGGTAGAGTGCTCGCCTAGCACATGCGAGGGCCTGGGTTTGATCCTTAGCACCACATAAAAGAATAAATAATATATATATAAAGAAATTAAAGTTTTAAATAAATGTAGAGATAGCCCATGTTCCTGGATCAGAAAACTCAATATTATTAAGAAAATGAGACTCTCAAAATTAATCTGTGAGAAATAGAAAGTCCAGTGGTCTATTTTCAGAATAAAGTATTTAACCTTAATTGGGATATAAGATCCAATTATAGTCATTTTAACTATAGCCCTTCCCTTTGCCTTCCCCAATTTTAAAATTAACTGGTCACATAGACTGTAACCCAGATATCCTTCTATCAAAGCAAGGGGCAATTCTACATTAGAGATAAAAGCAGGCGAGGCGGACTGCTTGCCCAGGGGTACTTGCTAGCCAGATTTGGTAGCACATGCTTCTGGCAGAAGTAAAGTTTGCCAAGCTTGCTGACCCATTTCCTAGCACATGATTGATTCTTTGTGGCACTCTGGTATTTCTAACCGTTTTCACACCCAGTGTGGGGCTCCATACATTGCCTAAGAGGTTGTGGATACACCTCATTAGAGGAGATACATCCCACTGCCTTTTTGAGGTAGCCTAGAGGGGAGAATGACTGTAATTCCTGAAGCCAACAATGGACCCAAAATCAAAAGTGGATTGGCAACACAGTAGGACCCAAGCAAGCACTGCAGCAACTGAGAAGTACTTCTTTCGTGGTCAAAACATGCCAGAGATTGTGTAAGTATGACTGAGACTCTATTCAGAAACACAAGACCATGTCCAAGAAGGAGGGATGGGAGGCTCGGAGTGTGCAAGAAACCTTTAATAAGCAGGGATTGAGTACACAGAGGAAAACTTAATTACATGGGCCTGCAAAACATGGGGAATAAAAATTCTAGGCCTAGAGACAGGAAGAACAATGGAAAGATCCCATATGTACGAGTCTTCTTTTCCTTTGAAGAATCCTCAACAGGGAAAATAAACAATGGTGATGATGGGAGTAAACCTGCACCCATGGAGGACAAGTGACCAGTTAAACCTTTGATTTCCATATCCACCATGGCTGACAGACTTTATTCCTAATGTTCCTAGCTGCACAGGCTCTTTTCATGTCTGGGTCACATGTAGGGATTTAGTAAAAAGCTGGTAAAAAGCTTCAAGACCATTGTTTCCTGTGTGTTTTGTATATATGTGTGCATACCTGTGTACTGTACTGTAACAGGTATGCACACATATATTGTGTCTACATATATACTTGTGTCCATATATCATGTACATGGTATCAAAATTGGCTTATAGATAAATGAGTATTCATAAATTTAATGAATGGATCCAAATACCTTTCAGTTAACATGAATTAAACAAAACTTTAACAAAAGGGTCAATCTAAATTGGTAAGAATAGAAATTCCTTTGAAACCACTAACCCACATGTTTATCTAGGTGGCCAGCCAATCAGTGTTAGTTTCTATAAAATGTTTAAAGTGCAATGTCCATTGCTTCTGAAGGTTTTTCTTTGTCAGGAATAACTGACTTAGTACTAACTAGACCTGTTTAATATCTTGGTTTTCATGAGTAACCTAAATTAGAAATAGATTAATTAGTTTTAACATAAGTGGGATTAACATGCATAAATATATTTGTTAGAAGAGACATCTGATTAACTTACAGTTAAAATACTAAAACATCAACTAAGTATAAATTCAAGTACTCTTGGGTTCTTTAATTCCATAAGGTAACAAATATTTGGGTCTATTAAATGTATTTTTTATAAATTGGTAAATTAAAAAAAAGGCTTAAGATTGTTTATTTCTAGGTCTTAACCTAAAAACAAGGTTACTAAGAGTTAAAATTCTAACAGGTATTAAAAAAGTTTTAGCTGTTTGATTAAAGTTCTGTAAAAAGAATAAGGTATTTCATCTTATTAAAAAGGAGTAAGATTTGGTTGAATGAAAGAAAATGGAGCTCCAGTGATGCAAGGAGGAGCCTAAAAGAGGGTTATGGCTTGTAGATAAAGCATTGATCAGAGTCTGCGCTGAGCAGAATTTAAAAAAAAAAAGTTGGGGCTAATGATTGGACTCTGTATCTACAGGCATTGGGAGGGTACCAAGACAATTGGCTTTGGCTGGGCATGTGGCTCAAGCGGTAGTGCACTTGCCTGGCATGCGTGCAGCCCAGGTTCAATCCTCAGCACCACATACCAACAAAGATGTTGTGTCCGCAGAGAACTAAAAAATAAATATTAAAAATTCTCTCTCTCTCTCTCTCTCTCTCTCTCTCTCTC